ACTGTTAATTTTACTACTGTTAACACGTACATTATTTAAAACTGAAAACTATTCCACACCAGATAGGCCAATATTACTGCTAGTGTAACGAACGCCGTTTGTGTGAACACTTTGGAATTTTAATCCGTGGATTAGCTTACGCTTGGCGTAAGCCACGCCAGTCTTACGCCGTGTGTGTGAACATAACATAAGATATTTTGTATCTGTAACTATCTCATTTGTTTGTTTTGATTTATTTTAATAACTTACCCCTGACAGACATTTTTCTATTGTTCCCAGGATTATCAGCTGAGATTTGTAAACATTCTTCTCGTCACCTGACCTCTGCGAAAAAAAATATCACATGGTTTAATAAAATTATTATTAATTTGAATAATTTGTTCTTTTTCTATTCAAATTCAGCAGTGACTGGATTTAGGAATTATAACATTTTTCATGCTCTGCAGTTAAACAAAAACAGAAAGTCCCAGCTCAAGGTTTACTGTCAGTAGTACAGTAAGCTGGGAATAAACAATCATTTTTTTTCATATTGACAATTCAGTTTATGCTTGTTTACAGTACGGCATCAGATGGAACAAAACTTGTCTTTACATGTTTAATCAAGGTCATAGTACTTTCATCAAATTCAGATCAAACAAACTTTAAGGAGAAAATTTAATTATTTAAAAAAAAATTATACCATAGTTCCTGGTATATAAAAATAAAACAGTGGTAAACTGGGGGGGGGGTGTAGGGGAACCGAGCTGGCCCACCCCTTTCCCCCACCCCCCTAAATTTCTCAAAATAACAAAAACTGTAGAAAAAAGGGGAGTTATAATGCAGTTTAAGTCTAAGAATGCCATTTCCAGCAATCTAAATTTTCTTACCTCAGTCCCAACAATGTTGAAACTGAGGTGGTCATTTGTGAAAGGCACTCCATGGCCCCTCTATTTTGAATTCCTGGATCCCCCACTGTAAACCTACCCCCTACAGTACTTTACATCTCATTTTATGTAGCAGTTTATTTCCTAGCAATTTTAAGCCCTGTGTATGATTTAAAGAAGTAGCCCAGCTGAATTCTACAAATAGTTTCAGAAAGAAACAAGATTCTTTAGGTATAAAGCAATTCCCAAAATCAGCCAAACTTTGTGTCGAAGAATTTATATAGGCCCCAAAATCTTTGGATACAAAGGCAAACACCTAGCTGAATTCTACAGATAGATTCAGAAAGAAACAAGATTCTTGTATAAAGCAATTTCCAAAATCAGCCAAATTTTGTGTTCAAGGCTTGGAAAGGACCCAAAATCTTTGGATAGAAAGGCAAACACATTTCGACTATTTCATCCCTATTAACTGTATTTACTGTATTTTGCTAATATAAAAAAAGCCTGAACACATGATTACTGTAATTAAAATTAAATTTCTGAAATAAACTTTAATAACTTCTTCACTAATTACCAGAAAATTGTCTTTTCCTACATCTAATTATTTCTTTTACATTTGAAAAAACTAAAATTAGAATTTTTTTATGGCAAACTTAGTACCATACTGATCGCCAATCTTCACCAATTTCTTCAATCGTATTAATCGCATTTGAAAATATTGAAATAAAAATAAAACAAATACTATTTAGGAGCCATTACATTTTTACGAAAATAAAAAATGATTATGTAACAATAACAACCAGCATTATTTTGTATGTACTTTTTAAAAATGAAATTACCTCCTTAATAGGAGTTATTTTGCATTATTTAATATAACCACAACATACATTCTTTATAATTTTATTTTTATTGTCACAAGATTCAGTTACAGTAAAATTAGAACTAATATAGCAATAACTAGCAATGAAAATTGTTTTTATAATATGAAACCAGCAGAAATGTACTGAAAACAACAATAGCTTTCTACAGTACGTTCCCAATCGTATTTCATGATACAATGTTATTGACTTAATATTTTTTTTTTTTTTTGATAGTAGGAAGGATGAATAAAGTAACGATTTAAGAATTAGGGGTGCACGTTATGGTATAGATTAGAATCCTGTATGAATGTACACGAAAAACAAAGAAAAAAAATCCTGATGGTTTTGGGTCAAAATTGGTTTATACGGAGTAATACATGCAGTGAGACTATACCGATATACTTCAGAGGAGAAAATTCTGGTTTATTGCTCAAAAGGTCTCACCAGAATTTGAATGGATTTTTATTATTTTAGGACTGACTGTGTTATTGTGATACAATAAAAAAAAAAAAGTGTCCCTTTAATAGGGGTTATTTGACCATTTGGCACATTCATAAAGTGTCCTCATTCCCTTAATAGGGATTGGTCGTAGTGCCCCTCATTCCATGGAAAACTGTCCCCATAGGGATGACCTAAAGGAGGGGTTCTATTGTAGTCTATGCCATTACTTTCTGCCTGTGTTGTTGAACATGTTAACAAGATCGGTTGTTCTGGAAATACCAACCAACTGTTTCAACATGTCTCATTATTATAGGTTGTTCTTATTTCATCCTTTTCTTATGAGAAAGTTAATGTTTTAATTCAATTTTGGGAGGATTTTCCTAAAACTAACTGTGATACTACTAGATAGTGATAATATAATACCATAGTGATATGGTGGGAAACACCATGATTGTGCGAGGGCAGTATTTAGCACATTTTTTTATACTTTGAAATATACATCAGCATTATATTAGGCAATGTAATTGGAGACTACAGAAGTGAAACTAAATTCATTATAATATTAATTCTCTATTGGATATTATATTAATTTTCCTAACAAACAGTAGTCCACTAAATACAAACCAGTTACTGTTGAGTTAGGTCCATGGATTACAATTTATATGACCTAATGTATTAAATATACAATAAAGTGAAGGGTACAACTAAAATACAAGGCCCATGGATTCTAATTTATATGACCTAATGTATTAAATATACAATAAAGTGAAGGGTACAACTAAAATACAAGATAATGTGAACAGAGTATAGAAAAATCCTAATTATGTGGGTTTAATTTACATGTAGTGAATAAAACGTTCATATAACAATCCAACTCTTTCACGCAGTGTACTGAACATACAGCTTTTACACCATAGAGTGGTACAACCAACAAGAGCTGTTTATTATTATTATTACAAGGTGCTTACAAACAGGAAGTAAGGTTGGCTGCATGCCAAATACTAGAAGCCATTTTACTGTGTCTCAATTAAAGAGGCCATGTATAGCGGATAAGTTGTGTTTGCTCCTATTCACTCTTTTCCGATTTTCCAAAGCATAATCATTCATTTTCTTTTTGTTTAACTCTAATTTTCTAAGAAAAAAAAACTACTGTAAATTTATCATCATTTACCTGAAATGCCTCCAGCACAAGAAAGTGTGTTATATTTACATTTTTTATTTTTATAGAATTTTCTTTTCAGATACTAAAAGAAAAAAGTTCACATATCAATAAGAACCTAATAATAAGTAAGAGATAAGATGATCTTAAATAATAACCAAAAGATAATTAATGATAGAAATAGTATATATTTTTTAATTTCTTTAAAATTCATTTTAACATTTTTGTAAATAAAAATTATTATAATTATTCATCAAAATTATGATTTATATTTATTTATGAAAAACATTTAAATTTTCAGTTAATCATAGTTTAATTCAGTCAATCATAGTGTAATTAATAGTTTACTGACTGATTTTAAACAGTTTCTGTATCTTTTGTTGTTTGCATTGTTTGCCCTGCATATGCTTGGTCCTCCAATCTGTGACCTGGGATGTATGTTCCATTCTATTTGATTTATTGTATAAAGACTGATTTGAGAGTAGTTTTTTATATCTACATTTTTTATTAAAATTAATAAAAGTAAACAAGGCTTAGTTAATTTTAAGTTCCCTATGAGTTAATCATATCTCAAGCTTCTCATTAAACACATGAGAAATCATCATATGAAAAGTTGCCAAAAATAGATACAATCCATAAATTACACAACATACACTAAAAAGAAAATGTAATTACAAACATAGATACTTTAGAAGCCATGAACACCTATTATTTATTGAAGTTATTCAAATTTACTTCCTGTTGACAGCTTAAACAGCAACACCATAAATATGACAAAATGTTTATTTTCAATTTTCCGAGAATTCTGAAAATGAAGGCAATTGGAATGGATAATGTTACTTATTAGTTAGCAATTTTGTGGTTTCTAAACTACAATTTATTTCAGTAAACCGCTCAATTGACTGTTACATCATTCTGTTAATTAAATTGCAAATAAATTGTATAAACCACTAAAGTACCAAACTTTGAAAGGACACATAATTAACAGTGTAGTTTCATTAATAATCATCATGTCAGGCAATGTATTCCAATTCATGAACTCATTTGAGGCTGAAATTTAATAGAGTTCTGTAGAAAAAGTGAGAGGTTAAAAAAAGGATAGCAACTAAAACACATGTTTACATGTATAAAACATTGATCACATGTACAGTATAGCAGATATCGGTACGTATTATACAGTGATGCATAGTCAGTATGGAATGCATGTATAGCACTGTATCTATCTAAAAATGGAATGCAAGCACCAAGCATTCAACATTAAAAATAAAAAATGGGTTTTGAATAAAAGGAAACATAAAACTCCCTACAGCAGGTGTGCAAGTAGCTACTGTAGGTATTAAATATAGAATATACAGTATATATTATATTGTACGAATATTGACTGCTCATGAGGGGAATAGTGAAATCTATTGCCCCTCGGTGATGTGGCTACGGTCTCCACATCACCGAGGGAAAATAGATTTCATCATTCCCCGAATCTAGAGCAGTCAATATTTGTTTTATATACCTCATTCATAGATTCTACGAGGCCTAAATAAGTACATACTTCCTAGACTAGCCTAGAGACCTACACACTAACTAGGCCTAGCCTAGGTGATCAAAGAGTGTGGCTGCTCTTCTTGAGTCATTTCAAATATCAGACTTGGGTTGTTTGCTGGTGCATTGACATTCAAAGTAAAATACATGATAGAGATAATACAAACAATATACTAACTATTTACTAAAAGAATTAAAAAATATATGTAAAAAAAAAATGAATGAAAAAAAAACAATTTCCAGATGTTTTTTTCAATAATATAGAAGATATACAGTCGAGGGTGATATATTAATCATTTTTTTTTTCGGGCCGTAGCAGATTTATACAGAGCATTACCAGTGTGTGTGTGCAGTATTAACTCTTTATTCACATAGGCCAATAAATTGAAAAACAATAACAACAACTTGAACAACAGTTCCAAAAACACATTGAATACACTTAACAGTCTACAATATAAAAAGGGAATCCATTAAAGTTAAACACAGTACCATCATTTATATAAACTGGTTCAGTTCAAGATTTTACAACCCATGACTGGCAAACCTAGAGTAGATGTGCCCGCCTCTTTGCAGTGATTATATTCTTGGCTTAGGGGTCGTTCACAATTTTCAACATTTCCACAAGTGTGTACACAGTACTCTATTTCGGTACCTCCTCCCTCCCCTCTGAAAGTGTACAAAAAATGTTGATTTTGCAAAACCATTCTTCATTTTCACGTGAAACCAACTAAAGTAATGTACTTGGTTGTCATAATGAATATCCATGGTTACATTACAATTTTACCATTATCTTTACATGTTATTTTGAATCAACAGTTTTATGCATATGTAAAAGTGTACAAATTGTCTACTGCACCCCCTCTCCCTAGTGTAGTGAATTTGTACACTTGTGGAAATGCTGATAATGTTGAATTAGATTAAAAAGAGGAGATGTTTCTTTGGAGGAATCATTAACAATGATCATTATACATTTGTATGACACTTTCCAAAACAAAATTATTAAATTTAAAAAAGCAATCAAAGGCCAAAATTTAAAAAAAAAAAAGAAAAAGAGTTTTGTTTAGCATGTGAATTGATAACACATAATAAATTGATTTAAACTTCCATCACAGTTAAAAATTCTAACCATATGTCCACTCTATTACACATAGTATTATTTTGTCAACAAATTTCACAAACATACAGTACTTCAAAATTATTTTTCGATAAACTAACCAAACAGGCATTGACTGAATGTGTTTCCGGTTCCTACTTGGAAAATCATAAGGCAAACATGCATTTCCTTGCAAATGGTTGTAAAAACAGTACCACATCATTGAAAGAAGATAAGTAATACTGTAGGAAGGTTGAGATATAAATTGAATTGAAAAATATCAGTTTACTGCTTTCCCCTTCCTGTAATACCACAGAACCTCTAGCATACAAAGGCTGTCAAAGAAAGTCTTGAATACATATTTATTGTTTACTTTGCTGGCAAACAGGAAGTGAAATTGGCACCATGCCAAATGGTAAACACAGAAATGTGTTCATTGCAAACATATTAAATAAATTTTGTAGTAGTATGTAATAATATGTAAACATCCATCCATCTCACTGCTCACACTAAAAGCAAACACATAAAACTACCTTCTATAGAATAAAATTAATCATTTACATAAATGTTTAATTTGATTTCATTTTTATGCAAAAAGCAAGTGGATACTGTACTGTACATCATAGGATTGAATGCAGTTATCTCAATCTGGGCAAGATAAGGTTTTAAAAGAGAGATATCAGTAGCGGATCCTGGAATTTAAAATAGATGGGGCCTACCTATACTATAGAACAGTGGTGGTGCTGGAAAGGGGAAGAGGAATTTCCCTCATCAGACAGGTCTGTGACCTCTGTCGTTCGACACACGACTAGGTCTTCAGATCAAAAATTTAAAAAATAATAATTTACCTATCCATCCCTAATATTGTAGTCTAAAAAGCACATTTTGGATGAAAATAAGCCATAAAAACTCTGCCTGTGAACCCTACATTACTGTACAAGGGGAGTTTTTATTCTGGGTTGTCAACTGAGGCTTTGTTGGCCCTTGGCACCACCAATGCTGTAGAAAAGAGGGACTTCACAGATGGAGAGTCTTGACCACCTCAGTCCCACGATGGTTGGGGCTGAGGTAAAAACATTTATAATTATAGCACCTACTTTCCTTTTTTCTCAATTTTTCTATAATTTTGAAAAATTTGGAGGGGGTGGGAGAGAATCCGCCACTAGAGATGAGGTAGGCGTTTGAAGGAATAGGTGAAGTCTAGGCCTACACGGAAAACATAAATTATAATGAAATATACTCTAGGGAGGGAGAAATTACACAAAGAAAAGCCAAGAGCAGAAACATGATTCAAAGGCAAGGAAAATAGAAGTTTACAATAATATGGGAATACCTAGAGGAAGAATAGACTTTAAGGCAGTGCAAAGGTGTATGAAACAGCTTGGCAGAAGACTAGGAAGGGAGAAATGATGATGCATTTAAAAGGGATGAGACCTTGGAAAGAAGACACACACCTGGCCTGGAGAGGGCGAATAGAGGCCTAGGGATTGGATATTATTATTGATGAAATATAATTTTTACCATTCACATGAACAAAATCAAATTTACTAAATTTGAATACCCATGTTACTCAATAGCCAATAGTATGTGCTGTTGTTTTGTGGGACCTTAGCAACAATATCCAAGGGGTGTGTCTTAATGGAACCATGGAGGTATTATTGAGGAGATCACTCGGCAAACCTACGCGCACGCAGCGCTATGCAAATGAACCAAGATCAAAACTGCCGCAGCGCGTGAAGAACGTTTGCGCGATGCCTTTGAAGTCCCATGTGTTCCACGCCATCAAATTTTCAGCAGGCATTGTCAACCAAAAAATTGAACATGGCGAAATGGAGAGCACCTTTTTTTCTCGATGCGCACTACATACAGTCAATCACTATGGCTGCGCAATCATTTCCATTTTGAAGCTGATACATTTATCTCTCATAAAATATCAAACATATTAATATTTTCCACCAAAAAAAGTTTCAAATTTAAAGGAACATTTACATGACCTTTAAAAGTATAGTATATTTCAACTTCAATTTCCATAAATTGGCCTAAATTCGCTAATTTTAACAGATATTAATTAATAAATGATTGAGGATTATAATAAATTAAGTCATTTTAGGGTTAACGAGGGTTAACTATTTGAAAAATCAATC